TGCGTGCAATAGTGGCCGCGTAAAGGTGGTATCTCAGCGGAAGCCACACCCCCTCCTATCAGCCCCATTGAAACCTAAAAAATTCGGTGAAAATTATTTTTCTGTATATTTTTAGGTCCTCTAACACATTCTTGAAGGATTTCACAAAAATCGATTTTCGACATCAGATCCATTACCATAACTCATGGAGTTACCCATTACATACCTAGTTGTATAGGCTCAAGTGTCAGTAATTTAGAAGGCTACAACTTTAGCAATTTTAGCAATACAAATTTCTGATTTATTGCATTTAAAAGCCAGTTAAATTTCACGTTGGAAACCATTTTTAGTTATAAGAATTTCCTCCTCCTGCGTCAATGCCACGCTGAAGACGAAACAGCCACTCCTCGATGGAATTACGCACAGATTCCAGGGGCATTTTGTGTCATTCCGGGGTCAGAAATTTTTTCCAAGCCTCAGCACTTCTACGGGGCTTAGAACACATCTTTGCCCCCAAATTTGACCATTTTTCATGTTCCGGTGATTCAAATCCAGCAAGGATGATGACCATTTCTGATTGGAGATAAAGACCGGAATTTGTTTTTTTAGCACGCTTGGGTCATTTTTTGGCATAAAAGCTCGTGCTGAATCCTGCTGAGAGGTCCAATCGATTCCATTGAATTGGATCTCACTTAGGGGATGTCCCACGGACTCAAAAACATATTTTAAGAAATTTGATTCCCCTACCTCCCGCCAGTTTTCAGCAAAATGTAGAGAAATTACCCCAATTAGCTCCCACCTGCCAAAATCATCAAAAAACCTGGATAACGTGACTTTCTGACCTTTTGTCTATATCGGGGGATGTCTCTGACCGATTTTGCGTAGATTAGGTCAACTCGTTGGTTAAAAGATTTTTCCAATGTGAAAATCTCCTCATTTGTAAAAAGAATCCTGCTCACTTTTTTGGAGTGTACCGCTTGAGGTGACGCCTGCATTTATTTAATCTGGTTTTCCTTTGGGGTACGATCAGGATGTGACAAGTACCACATTTCAAAGCCTTAAGCCTAAGCTTCAATTTGAGTACTCATTGGATAATTTTCATCGACACTGTCAGCAGTGAGCCCGGTTTCCGCTGGAATTTCGTGAATTTCTTAGGATTCCAGGCTTCAGAGGCTTCACGATGGGTGTGGTCCTTGGAGGTTTTCAAAAAATTCTTCTTCGACTGTTCTTAGTCGATTCGGTCCCCATGAACGTTTTTATAGTCCGTTGGGCTAAATTAAAGTACACCTTTGACTTTTTCAGCACATGTCAAATTCACTATTTTTCTTCGATTTTTTTGTGAAAAACTATCGCTGCCCGCTTCTCTTCAATTTCGTATATATTTATCCAGATGTTCAAAAATTACAAGGTCCATAGTGAATTATAACGTAAATCGCATGGCGAATCTAATGCACTTATCAGATTTTAATTCTGCAGCGTAGTTTTTTAGCAATCAGCTAGTGACACTTGAGCCTTTACAACTAGGTATTTATGTATGTATGTAGAATCACTAATTATGAAAAAAACAATAATACATATCTACAGCTAGTTACGTGGAGTTCGACATTTCAGCAAAATTATATATTATAAATAGGTAAATAAATGGTCATCCTAAATTATTTTGTCTGGAATAAAATATTCCAATCGGCTACGAATACATGTCTATGACAAAGAATTTACATAACTCCTGCCTACATATAGTAATAATGTAATACCATTCTACCAGGCCATAGAAAACACAAGTCTGTCTGTACCAAAAAGGTTATGCATATATAAGTTTGCACGTATGTATATACCCAAGAAATCCGTGGTTAATTATGCACCAGCATTTTAAGACGGACTAACCCTTTAAACCAGGGATTAATTTTATAGCATGGAGAATATATTCGTCCCAAAAGTCATGTACTTAAAACCCTAAAATTAAAAAATACTTTGGTAAAAGGGGTCCAGATATTCGCATCTATTACGTTTTTTATTCATTTTTCTTACCGATGTGAATATTAACCAGGTGGTCAAAATGAGAACAACATTTTTTCCCATTTGTGAAAAAAGTGGGTCCGTTCACTTAAAGCGGTGGGAATTCAGAATGGACCTTTCGGCACGATGTCAAGAGAGTGGTTAGTTGCTATCGTTTGGAACATTGCGAAGTGTACGATTGATTTGCTGCTAACGTTTTAAAACTAGGGTTCCCGAGTTATAGATATATATGAGTATATTTACATAAATAGGTAGTAAATATGTGTAAAATAATATTACAAACGAAGTGGCTTTAAATGTATCCCAAAACAAAGCAAAGTAACGTGTGTTAAAAAATAAAATATAGTTCTGGAGATTTAAACAATCAACTATTTAAATTTAATTTGAGTAGGCCGATTAATTAATGGCGTGAATTATGAGGGTCATTTATGTAAATACATATATTTGTAAATATGCATCCAAGGTAAATTTGCGAAAATTATTATATACTCACAAATATATTCCGCTCGTACTTATGTTGAATATCTATACTGAAATGATAATTAATAACATGCACTTATGTACATCTTAAGCACTTATTGCATTTGTTGGTGAAATACTTCTTTGTATTTGCCGTTAATTAGTGCAATTTAGTATTTTAGTCATTAGTCAGTAAAACTGATCAATCTCACAAGTTGGCTGTAATTGCGAATTTCATTTATTTATTTCTGGACTTCGTCTGGAAATTTTTAAATTTTGGGTTTCCCCTTATAAATACATTCATCATACAATTGCTCGTTTTATCTAAAATCAGTGCTTCATGGTATGAAAACTGACCAAATAAATAAATTGGGCACGCCAGCTACAGTTTAGCACAAGAATGTGGCCGAAATTGACAAGTGTACAGTTATTATAGAAATTGGCTAATTGCTTCTTGACCAAACCCGCAGAAAAAAATTGTGCAGTCAATTATGGTTGACGCTGTAATTTGCAAACATTTGTGCAGTTTAACTCCTTGGCGAAATTGCAATTATACCATTCACGACCAACAGGAACTTGGATAAATGCTATTAGTAACAAAGCGAATAGGGTTTAACTCAGGGAAAGATACAAAATGGAAATTAGCCTTATGTAAAACTGAATTGTCTCAATGATCAAGTGATTACTGGTTTAGGAAATTAAAGCATAGTCTGGAAATATTTGCGCAGTCTAAATTTAAAATGAGTTTAAATGGTTTTTGCGTTTGTGACGGAATGTTGGAGGGTGCTCTGCAAGTTTTGAATTTCAGTTTGAATATTTGTGATACATAAAAACATTTTGCTAGGAAACTATTACCCTATTCGACAAGGATTTTCATGACTTTTTGAAAACACAGTGGGGATATTCATTACGAGTTTACATCGTTAGCCACATTAACAAAAAAAACAATTCCAAAAAAGTTCGCAAGTTCGTAAAAAATGGTTTGAAAAACTTGCGAAGTTGCGGATACCCCTAATATTTCACAAATTTCCGAATTACGTGTCAATTGACTAATCGATGTAAAATAGGCAAATTAATAAAACTGAGTGTCCAATATTCTTAAATTTTTATTTTCCATAAAATTACTGTCAAATTTCCCCGAAATGTATTCAGACCTATTTTATAACTTACTTTGGGCAAATTCCTTCGTCACGGGACACATTGGCGTTGGGAGTACTCGTTTCAACAGGAAGCGAAAAACCTACTACATGACGGACCAGACTAGACGAAAGACTTTGCGAATTTGTATAACTAGCATAATTTTCGCAATACACGCAACTGCTAAAGCGACCTACATGTATTACTTTGAGGGTGGGTATACAAACACGAATTTCTTGATTGGGTACGCGTTCACTTTCATCGAGGTGCTCATGTCGGGCGGCTTGATTTTGATGAATGTCATCCAGGACGATCTCATTTTCGGGATGAACCACTTTCTCAAGTATTTCAGAAAGTTTCAAGGCAAGAACAATTTTAAATTTGTATTAATGAAGGACTTAATTGCTCATCGTCAAAATTCGGATATTTGTATCTATTTCTCGGCTTCGGGAATTAATTTTGAAATTTACCAATGTGTAGAGCAGGTCGTTTCTATGTTTTCTAAATACAGGCTCCAGATGTTGACAGTTTTTTAAGAAGTTCTCAAGTTTAAGAAATCTTCAGAAAAGTTGGAACTCATCGAAATTCTATTGATCGACTTCCTGCTCACAGACATATCGTACATAATTTTAAAATAAATTCCCATAACCGAAAAGTGATTAAAAATGCCTTGGTTTTGACGATTTTTGTAATTCAATATTTTTTAATTCGAGTTTTATGTAGATAACTAAATTTTCGCAAACTGCAACTTTCCAAGTTTTTGATTTTCTCTAATTTCCTGAAAAATATAAATTTAGCTAAATGGATACCTGTCTGGAATCCGAACAAGGAGAAATTCTCGTATTTCCTCGACTTTCAACTCGTCTGTCAAATCGTAATCCTGGGGGGTGCCCCTCTAACAACGACACTGTTCTACATCCACGCTCCAGCCACGCCCATCTTCATGCATGGGCGGCTAGCAGAACTTGGCTTCATTTACATAAATGAGCAGAGGGTGAATGGAACCTGGCTGGAACTTGGGGTAGACTGGACTCTATATTTGGGCGACATGTGGCTGGTCACACTGGGGGCGCAGATCGCATTTTATAGTCTCCTCTTCTCAATAACGTCGGGAAGTGTGTATCTTTGTAAGTAAAAATTTATAGTCATCTTGTCGTATTGATTTCGCAGAATTAAAATTGCTACCGCCTGGTAATCAAATTATGGTAAAACACTAATACCGGACTTTTACTACACGGTACTACTTACTAATACCATTTTGGTAAAATCTTTCATGAATACCATTTGGTATTATTTTTATACTAGATTTATAAGAGTGCATATAAATATGCATTTATTTATAGGATTTCTAGGTCAAATTATGTATAAACTTTACATATTGATTGCCTTGGTTTGTATTCAGTCTCGGCGTGGATGCTGATGTTCGAGATGCGAGGTCCGGATAAGTATGGCAAGAAAAATAACACTTACCGGTCGATACCTGCGTTGCGAAAAGTGGAAAACTTGATTCGCGAATTCGTCTGCATGCAAATCGTGCACAATGAGATGATGAAGATCGTGGGACTTGTGATTTTTGGACTTCATGCCGCTTTCTCACAACTCTGTCTCTACTGCAATTTCGTCGTGATTGAGAACTGGAATATTCTACCCAGGACTACAAAGGTTGGATGATAAATATATAATTTGTCGGGAATGTGTTTGTCCTTCCTTTCGCAAGTTTACTAGAAAAAGTTAGAACGAAATTAGACAGATCAAGTCCTAGAAATCCATTATTAAAATAACACCAAATATTCATATATATTTATTTAGATGATTCTAAAGCAATATAACTCGATAAGTATTAAAGTTTTATCGCAACGATAGCAAATATCTGTATTTACGGACCTGTACGTATTATTTTAAAATCGAGCGGTATCAAGTTTAATACCGAGAAATCAAGATTAGCCTGACTACACCCGATTTTTAAAATTATATGGATAACATGTAAATAGAGACAATCAATTACATATTTGTTATTTTGTTATTACGCAATTTATGTACGTATACGGTTACAATTCTAATTTCAATTTGATTATTTAATTGTCTAGATGGCGTTGGGAAGCTGGTCCCTCCTCGTCCAAATAATCTGGGCCAGCGTGTTGGAACTATGCGGACAGTTTTGCGCCGACTCGAAGAAGACGCTTTCTTCATGGAAACTTCTGGAAAATGTGACCCCTCGGGAGAAAAAGTTGATGTCCAAGTTTCGGAAGACGTGTCGCCCTTTTAAGTTTGGGCAAGAGGGAATGTTCACTATCAAGCGGTTGACCGTACTCAAATTCCTCCGAGGCATTGTGAAAGAAACGTTTCGAGCTGTGTTGGCACTGGGATAAAATTTTACAATCTAAAATTGAAGCCGCTTAAAATTAAGATAATCCACGGTAACATAAGGTAAAGGTAAAACTTATTACTAATAAGTTTTTATGTGGAATTTCATTTTTAGAACAAACACTGGTTAAGGTAGTGCAAATTTCTTCAGCTTTAATAAAATCTGTGCATGAGTAGAATTTATTTGTGCCACCGTAGTTAAGTGAGGGTTTATATTATGAGAAAAAGTATAATACAATTCAATTTTAACGGAGTTTCAACGCTGAACGCAAGTATGACACCCCTTTAGGCAAACGATAACTATGTATGTATCTAAGTGATCGGTCGCACGAGGTCAAACGTCATAAACGTAGAATACCTGTCAATTTTAATACATTTTCAACAATCCAAAGCAATATAATATTCATTTTGACGTATGACGCACCGCACTGGATTCACCCCTTGGTCAAATGCGTTTGTAAAGGTTTATTAACTTATAAAAATGAAAATGCAATAGACAATATTTGTTTTAAATGTATATATGTAAAGAGATAATTTTAAACGCAAAATTCTGAGCCGATAATCCTGCATTAATGTGATGGACGCGAACCATCATTACACCAGGAAACTGGGTAAAGACTCATGTTAACAAATCCGTTCGATTCACCAGGACATCCAAAGATTTGTGACGTCTGTCGGCAGCGCCAGGCTCCATAGCAGTCCAAAACACAACAGTTTCCGATTCCTGAGCAATCCGAGTTCCTCTCACACTGAAAAATAAAATTTACGCGTTAGCACAACTCCGATGAAAAACGAATATCGATAATTTAGACAATGAGTAGGCATAGACGGTACAATTCTGCTTTGATATTTTCTAAAAATCTAGTGAATTTCATACAAAACTTTGCGATTAATATATTGAGTACACCATTTGTCGAAATACAGCCGCATTCTCCCAATTGGTTTCGGTTGCTTGTTTTGAAACATATTTCTTTTGGAGGAGTAGAGCATTCGGGACATGCAGAAGTTGAAGTACACTATTAAGTCAAAAAGATATACAAATACATGAGTATTGCTCATTGACGCGATCTGCGTCTTCAAGAGAGAACGTCGTAGGTGGGAATGACCGAAGGGCATGAAACTTAAATTAAAGGGTTGATTTATCGTGTAATGGACTGGGTATGACACCTCGTTTTTTGGGGTGTCAAATCTCCCCAAGCTTAATGGGGTTTTCCGGGGATTTTGTAACAACTTATAGGAGATTTCAATTAAATTCTTTAAACTAAAGGTTTGATCAGAGGAAATTAAATTTTCGAATTCAGAATTAAATTGTACGCATTACTATGTACGACTAGAATTTCCAAGTATCATTACATGTTTTCTTGTTTCTAAATATTTCGCTTACTTCTTAAACCTACCTCAAATGAATGAAAATACTAGGTTACTAAGTAGTAACCAAGTATTAGTAGTAAGTACTTACTACTAATACTTGGTACTTGGTGCTGAATTCGAAAAAATTGTATTAGTCATAATGTAGATAATATGCAATTTCAGAAATTTTGCTTCAAGCAGCCCCAAGATTAATAAAAACCCACAAAAATCCCGGCAAAAAACTGGGATTAGGGGCTTCTCTAAAAACACCTCTTGTGATACACTCAAAACAAAACGGTGTCAATATATGACTTAACCGCCTTGGTTACAATTGTGATTCCGAGTAGTAATGAATTTTTTCCGTCCGGTCATAACATTATAACTACCGGTATCAAAATCATCATAACTCGGATTCAATATTGCATAGCTGTTCATTTCATTTCACCACAATCCACAAAACCACAATCCACAAACCAATCCCGCAACTACAATCCACAAAACCACAATCCACAAACCTTTCCACAAACTACAATCCACAATTCCACAAACCACAAACCTTTCCACAAACTACAATCCACAATTCCACAAACTACAAACCTTTCCACAAACTCCAATCCACAATTCCACAAACCACAAAAAAATCTTGTCCACTTTCCACACCACAGTCCACTTTGTGGATCCAAACTGTGGTTTGAAAAGCTACATATTCTAATTATGTAGCTTTACATACATAATTAAACACGTGTTTCACAATTTTTCATAATGCTCAATTGCAACGAAGTTTTAATGGTATACGTGAACGACAATTTGCATTTTTACCGCGAAATTTGAAGATACAAATTCCCGCTTACGGATTATAATATCGTTTTCAGTGTGCATTATGGAAAATCATGAAACGTGTTTAATTATTTATCTAAGGCTATATCATTCACAAGAATGCCACAAAACCTAACCATAACTACAAACTACAGACCGGTCCACATTGTGGACCAGTCTGTGGTTTTGTGGATTGTAGTTGTGGACTCCACAACTACAATCCACAAGTCCACAAACCACAAACCTTTCCACAAACTACAATCCACAATTCCACAAACCACAAACCTTTCCACAAACTACAATCCACAATTCCACAAACTACAAACCTTTCCACAAACTCCAATCCACAATTCCACAAACCACAAAAAAATCTTGTCCACTTTCCACACCACAGTCCACTTTGTGGATCCAAACTGTGGTTTGAAAAGCTACATATTCTAATTATGTAGCTTTACATACATAATTAAACACGTGTTTCACAATTTTTCATAATGCTCAATTGCAACGAAGTTTTAATGGTATACGTGAACGACAATTTGCATTTTTACCGCGAAATTTGAAGATACAAATTCCCGCTTACGGATTATAATATCGTTTTCAGTGTGCATTATGGAAAATCATGAAACGTGTTTAATTATTTATCTAAGGCTATATCATTCACAAGAATGCCACAAAACCTAACCATAACTACAAACTACAGACCGGTCCACATTGTGGACCAGTCTGTGGTTTTGTGGATTGTAGTTGTGGACTCCACAACTACAATCCACAAGTCCACAAACCACAAACCTTTCCACAAACTACAATCCACAAATCCACAAACCACAAAGCTTTCCACAAACTACAATCCACAATTCCACAAACCACAAAAAAATCGTGTCCACTTTCCACACCACAGTCCACTTTGTGGATCCACACTGTTGTTTGAACAGCTATGCAATATTGTAACCAAGGCGGTTAAGTCATATATTGACACCGGCGGTGTTGATTCGACAAATTTTTATTTTGTGTGTAATAACAAGCCTCCTGCAAGTTTCAAGCCGGTAGGCCATTCCCACCTGAACCCCCGTGTAGTATAAACTAGCTATATTTCAAGCACAAACCTCTGGACTGCAATAACAGGAGTGGCCGTTGCTACAGCGCTGTACTTCATACGATTTACAGTTAAGATAGCCACATTCAGAGTCTGAGTCGCACTTGATAGGAGGAATTTTAGATTAGTGAGTAAAATTCAACCCGGAATAAGGATATACATATTTATACATATTTACATATGTTTAATATGTAAAACGTTACGTACATAGTTTTCACAGCCGCAATATTGGCGTGGTAGAAGTGATCCTAACGAGGTATAAGCCCGAAGGCAGGCCGCCCTGTGGTCAGCACCACATTCGTTTGGGCAATCTAAAGCTGTGCTACACTGGGATTAAAAAAGAAAACGCACACCTATGTATGTCAAGATTTGATGATTCTGTAATCAATAGATAAATAATTTCAGCTTACCCCCTTATCGCAAATGCAGCTTCTCTTGCTATCAATGTTCATATTCAACAGCCAAGCTCCAGAGTCGGCACAGTTTTGTACCCATTTGCTTTCCGCCGTTTCGGCGTTGTCAATGTCGATGAGACAAGGCATAGTTGTGGTTTCGATGGTTGCCTGAAATTCAGAAAACACTTTTCAACAGGTGCATACACTCCTCTTAGAAAACTGGTATTAAATGTATGTGACTCTACCGGCACGATCTTAGGAAGTTATCACAAAACCAATACCCACACGGAGTATCTAAATGACTCCGCCAGATTTTCAATAGCATTAAATTACTCTCGGGCATGTCCACTTGCGCCATGTGTTAAAAATTGATGTATCTCACAAGGGACACTCACGACCTGTCGTTTGAGTCCAGGGTACCCACTATGTTTTTTAGAATCTACTAGGACCCTAGATGAAGGATTCTTTCATATTTCCGTGTAAAAGTCGTTTTGGCACCATGGCGTGGCGCCAAACTTAAAAATTTGCATTTTCGACCAATTTCAAACACCCATGCCTTTGCAGTTTATGTCGGATTTTCAAAATTGTATGCTTAAAATGATCACAAAAGTCGAACGTTTAGAGAAAAAATAAAAATAAAAAAATTATAATTTTTGAGGTATTTTTAGCATGATTTTGACAAACCCGCATTTTAAAGAAAATTACGAAATTTTGCGAAAAGCTAAAAGCGACAACTTTTCGAAAAATTTGTTTGAATACGAAAGCTTAACTCCTTGTCATTATTTTTGCCAAATATTTTGAAAATCCGTGCAGGATTTCAAAAGTTATGGCGGTTCCAAAAATAAAAACATTCAAATTTGGCGACGTTGGCGCCACGGCACGACGACAAATATGAGTTTTACACGGAAATATGAATGGATCCTTCATCGGGGATCCTAGTAGATTCTAAAAAACATGGTGAGTACCATTGACTCAAACGACAGGTCGTGAGTGTCCCTTGTCAGTATGTCCAAAGGGGACAGGAGCAAACAAAAATCGCCAATTTTTCGTTACGTAATTTAACGTGATGCGCATATGTGTACATCATGTATGTACATACTTACCAGAGGGGCCGTTTCAACACAGATACACCTATTTGTCGAATTCCTCTGAAACATGACACAGTACGGTTGCTGTCCAGCGGGGCACGTTATTTTGTCCATACACTCATTGTTGCTAAAGCATTGACCCTATGTAAAAAAATTGTACAAGACAATTATGTACATATTTGGGGGTTTTTAGATTCTACGATATATCTATGTATTAGCGGCAGAAATTATGTGGAGCTCTGTGTCTTGGGAAATATGGGCTAGTCCTATCCCAACACACCAGTGCCTTCTAACACAACATGGGATTTGGTGCCTCGTATCTCATTTGTGCAAAATATATTCTAAAATTATGCAATTCACTAAATTAACATTTCACTCACATGTGTATTGGATTATTTGAATATATCTTTCCTAAAGATACGAGGCACCAAATCCCAATTTTTTGTTAGAAAGCGCTTGTGTTTTTGGGAAAGGACTAGCCCGTATTTCCCAAGACGCCGAGCTCCAATGAACAGAGTAAATACAATCCAAAAGCCGATAGTCGACTTAATTTTTCACATTGAATCTAGGATATTCAATCAGACCCTTTCCCGAAAAGTAACGAAAAGTCTATATAAAAATACGCTCCATTTACTCAAGGTTGAGTAAAATATTTAGAGCATGAAACAACACTTGGGTAAAATTTATCCAACGGTTGTTAAATGTGTACAACATAAATTTTGTGCAATTGTTGCGTGTTATTCTCTATTTTAAGTGCTAATTTAATAGTAAAATTTACTACTTTTTGTTTACATAAATTGTATATAATCCAACCACATGTATTTAGCTTGTATTTAATAACATTACCTCAAAACATCTGCAGCAACTGCTGCCAATACCTTCGTACTCGCAAATTGATAGTTCACTACTCGTGCAACCAAGCAATCCGGAAATAATGCAATTTTCGTCACGTGTGCACTGTGTTCAACATGTATCACAGAACACGATTCAGTAATTACATAATTTATATTTGATTCATATGTACATACCAATTCCTCCTGGTCGACGCATAACGATAGATCAATTTGAGCTGTACCCGGAGCAGGTAAAATCAGCAGGCATAAAATTGTCAGCGACCACCACGTGGTCAAGGTTCTAAAAATCGTCCTGTGTAATTTAAATAAATTCAGCAAAAATTATTAAAATATTCTTCTGATACATACATGAGATATATAAATCTGGAATGAACACTTCACACCAAAATTATAGTAACCCTGCAAACTCAGTGGATTTTTCTGTCTAGTTTATAGTTTTTTCACCTCAACAGAGCTTAAATGGTTTGTAAATTGGAATTACAAAATTTGAAAGTCTTTCATCTTTCGCAGCAACTAATTATGCGTATAAGGACGAGGTTTTCTCCCATCTTGTGAAAATTATGTAGTTTTTAATTATGCACGTCTAAAAATAATAAACAGCCAATATTTTTAAGCTGTTCCGAATGCTCGACTTTTAGCCGATGGGGAAACTTATAAATAAACTTAAATAAACATTAAAATCACGATCTTTCACTATAACTTATCTTTATAAATTATACCCTGATTTCAAAAATTGTTTGAAAAAATGTGAGCTCAAGATTGCTTCCCAAGATATTTTATTTTCATGCGTAAAGCATTTATATTTTATCGCAGAGTTGCAAAATTTAAAAGGGTTGTGATTAAATACACTTTCAAAAAAATTTAAACCAGTAATTTTTGCCGTGAAATTTGCTCAAATTCGGAGACATCACAGATTAATAAATCTAGAATTTTTGAATGGATTTCTGATGTTCTATTTTTAAAGTTATTGCAAGGCTTTCAGCGAAAATATGTGTTATAATTTATTAATTAAGTTATACAGCTTCGAGAAACGGTGACTTTGGCTCGAAACTTCTGCAACGGGATAAAATAAATAAATTGGTTGCACATTGCGCATATCATGACTAACGAATTTATCAATTTTGGTTGGAACAAACCATATTTTAGTTGGATGGTATAAAATAAATCCATTAGTATACAAGAATTTGTTTGATAGGTATAAGAATAATTTATTACAATAAACACTTACATTTCCGTTCTGGGTGAATATTCGGCCGTTTTGTTGATCTTGAGCTTAAGTCAGAACAGACTAAAATGTGAGGCAGACTAACGCTCCTTTTATTCAAACGACTGGCGTCATTGAAAATTTAGTCGTTGTACTTTCAGCCTGGTGGAACGGATTAGGATGGCGACTGGATCGATTTAACATGCCAAAAATATCCTCACCTGTCCAAAACAAGTGTACATGTCGTTACAATTTTCAGGATTTGGGCCATCCGTACATTGTATCATCAAACATTCTCGATTTTACCTCGCACCCACTCAGCGTAAACATTTTGGGAGAGGGAATCTTAAGATGGGAAGGAAAGGAAGACCTAAACCACTCACCCACTAAAACAATGACGTTATACATGGACGTTATCATTGCTGGCATTTTGTGTGGGCCGAGAATTTTTAACCTTTTTGTCCCCAGGGCACTGGATTAAAAAGGTTGCTTTTTTGTCTGGGTTAGTTTCACCTATACATATTTACTGCCCCAGGTCTAGTACGACCCTCTTAGAAAACTGAAATTAAATCAATAGTGAAGGGAACATTTATTTGGCTAAATACGCACTGGTACATATTGTCGTCATTACGGTTCAAGTATGTATATGTATCTTTCCTTTTCTTACAATGGACGTCTCCTAACGTATGCTCACCGATTTGGACCAGACTAGTGTCAATCGATCACAAATGTATTGAGTATGCAATTTGCAAATCGAACTATCTGCCAATGCGCAGGTTTGGCGGAGGTATTTGCATAGAAAGAGGCGAAAACCCACCCCCAAGGCTAGCAAATTGTTCATTTTCCAAATTTTCTGCGCATTTTTCCCGCTTTTTATGCAAATATCTCCGCCAAACCTGCGCATTGGAAGATATTTCCATTTGCAAATTTCATACTCATTATATTTGTGATTGATTGACTGATTAATTGATTTATTGCAATGAGATTCCCCAATTCTGGGATCTTACATCTCAAGGGAGCAGAGTCATATATTACAAACATATAAAAAAAACAATCTTATTCCATATTATCTAATAACACAATCATTTCTCTCATTCTCGTTTCACATTGCATATTTAAAAAATGACTCTTGATTTGCTTCTTTAACAAGTTGAAACCTTTAACACTATCCATCAACAGAATATCTGAAGGCAAGCTTAAACATAATTTCGATGCGCTATATTTAAACGTTTTTCTCCCCAAGTCACTATTAAATAAAATTGCTGGTTCAACATATTTAAGGTTACGCGTATTTCTTGTGCACACACTTTCCTGGATTATATAATTATTGAAATACTTCGGACATTCATTTTTCATCATTTTAACTGCTAATTTACATATTTCGAAGTTGACAACATTTTTAGACACTAACCATTTGAGCTCATTATTAATATTATCTGTGATTGAATCATATTTGTACACATTACACACAAATCTTGCACATGACCGAATTATCTTATTTACGTTACTTAAATTACTTTTACCCAGTAACCACACCGGCGCTGCATACTTAAAGATAGAACAGACCAACGCATGCACAACAATTGATCTATTTTTGGCGTTCAGAACACCTCGTAACGGACCAAGCGACCATAGCGCACTATTACAACTTTTCATTACTTTTGCACAGTGATCCTTAAAAAGTATAATATGACACCAAGCAATTTCATACATTTAACTCTTCTAACTGGTACACTGTTAACTTTGATCGCTATATCCTCCATGCTTAGTCTAGCTTTTTTGTTACAAAACACAATAAACTCACATTTGTTTATATTTAGTTCATGCCTGCTATATTTCATCAGGTTGAAGATTATATCCAAGTCACTTTCAAGTTGATCAATTACGTGTTGTATCATATCTTCAGGTCCAGAAATTAGAACACCATTGTCATCAGCAAAAATTATACACAAACTATTAATAATATGATAAGGCAAATCGTTAATCATTATCAGAAATAACAAGCAGCTTAGACAAAGCCCTTGAGGGACACCTACATCCGCTAGCAGAGTTTTAGATCTCTTAACACAATTCTCACATTTTGTACAAACAAACTGACTCCTCTCACTCAATAATGACTCCACAAGTACAGAATCTATCCCATACCATTTAAGTTTATGCCTTGGGGGTGGGTTTTCGCCTCTTTCTATGCAAATACCTCCGCCAAACCTGCGCATTGGCAGATAGTTCGATTTGCAAATTGCATACTCAATATATTTGGGATCGATTGACAATAGTCTGGGCCAAATCGGTGAGCATACGTTGGGAGACCTCCGTTGTTAGTTCCTTTCGGAATATTTTTAGTTTAATTTTGCACGATCCTTGTGACGTTAGTTTTGCTGAAAAATTGATTTATACGTTTTAAATACTTGAACTCTTGGGTGTAAGAACATAACTACAATCATTCAAGAAGCCTGGGAACTTACAAAAATATTTTCACGTGCATTGCTCTGGGAACTCAAATGTGTGTTAAACTATTTATTAGGCGCATTTCGTTTGTAACGAATTATTATGACTAAAATTGAATCAAAATGGAAAAGCCAATTCACGATAATATTCTACCGATAAATGTACGTCGATAATTGTTTAGGATGCAATGATGGTCAGTAAGGTTAGTGTAGGGTGGCCCATGATCTCCCAAAAAAACACGGCGCGAAAGCTTTTTAACTGGTTTAACAAGTTTTAACTTGTTCAACTTGTTAACAAAATAAATGTGTTCCCAGTTGACCCAGGCCTTGCAAATAATGCTAAATATATGACACGTTGGTCTATAAAATTCGTAGATTCATCTTGTACACTAAGGAGGAGAGCAGCACCACTTGCCCTTCACAGATATCGATGCCCTTCGGATATGTGGTAGGGTCCAATGAGTGTACTAAAACGCTGAAGTGGTTTGACTCCATGGCCACATTTGCGCCCGCCACACCCACTCAAAGACACAAAAAACACGAAAAAAGCCCTGTTTTCATGTGCTCAGAATGTCACCAAAAATCCAATTTTGCTCGGATTTTTATAAAATTTACATTTTTGTGATCCCAGATACTTGTGTGATCATATCCAGTAAATATCTCAACTTTTTTGAAATTTTGAATTTTTTCGAATAATTCATCAGCTCGAAAATTTCGAAAATTTCAAAAAAGTTGAGATTGCTATTGGATATTATTAGACAAGTATCTGGGATCACAAAAATGCAAATTTTATCAAAATCCGAGCAAAATTGGATTTTTGATGGATTTTTGTAGTTGGTAACTTTTGTGGTTTTCGTCCCCAAATGTGGCCATGGAGTCAAACCACTTCAGGGTTTTAGTACACTCATGGGACCCTACCACATATACAAAGGGCATCGAGATCTATGAAAGGCAAGTGGTGAAGCTCTCCTCCTAAGTAAGACTATACAATGGGCGTAGTGTGTCTGGACAAATTGTAATCCGCTAATTATGGTAAGTTTAAAAGTACGTAGACCAAGGTGAATCGATAACAAATTTGTTGCTATGGAGAAGACAGCAAGTTTTGCGGAGAGAGTTTTAATTTCTGGGGCAATCATACCCATCGGGTTTCATTTCGTATCAACCCTTCAGAGGCAGTCGAAAGGGGGACATCCGTGGCAGTCATTTTTGTAGACCAACTTGTCAAATATTGAGCATTGGGAACAAATTTACTTTTTTAAAACCTATAAACTGATTGGGGTACGGGAACCCGGAGGGTTGATTTCGCACTAAATATAAATACATGGTGCCAGGCTAACTTGTGTCCATTCTGTTGGGCTTATGTACAATCACACTTGCATAGTTAGCGGATTGCAATATTTCCCAAGACACTACGCCGAATGTGGAGTCCCACTGTACGAGATTAATCGACTTAACCATATCGAGATCAAAGTGTCATATATTTAACACTAATGGCAAGCCCGACGGCCATTGAAAAGACGTCAAGTTTTGCAAGGCGTTCAGATTTCTAATTTTTGGGGCAATTGTACCCAGGGGTTTCATTACGTATCAACCACCGTTATATTCCACAACTTTAATTTGCTGTCAATTCAGCTTGGTCTACGTACCATTCTACTTGCCGTAAATAGCCAATTGCAATTTCCCCAGAGACACTACGCTAAATGTAGAGTCCCAGTGTTCCAAGTGAATCCACTTAACATTTTGCAGACCATCGTGTCATATATTTACCATTATTTACAAGCCCCGTCCATTGGAAACAAATTTACTTTTTGAAAACCTATAAACTGATTGGGGTACGGGAACCCGGAGGGTTGATTTCGCACTAAATATAAATACATGGTGCCAGGCTAACTTGTGTCCATTCTGTTGGGTTTATGTACAATCACACTTGCATAGTTAGCGGATTGCAATATTTCCCAAGACACTAGGCCGAATGTGGAGTCCCACTGTACGAGATTAATCGACTTAACCATATCGAGATCAAAGTGTCATATATTTAACACTAATGGCAAGCCCGACGGCAAATGAAAAGACGTCAAGTTTTGCAAGGCGTTCAGATTTCTAATTTTTGGGCCAATTGTACCCAGGGGTTTCATTACGTATCAACCATCGTTATATTCCACAACTTTAATTTGGTGTCAATTCAGCTTGGTCTACGTACCATTCTACTTGCCGTAAATAGCCAATTGCAATTTCCCCAGAGACACTACGCTAAATGTAGAGTCCCAGTGTTCCAAGTGAATCCACTTAACATTTTGCAGACCATCGTGTCATATATTTACCATTATTTACAAGACCCCGTCCATTGGAAACAAATTTACTTTTTGAAAACCTATAAACTGATTGGGGTACGGGAACCCGGAGGGTTGATTTCGCACTAAATATAAATACATGGTGCCAGGCTAACTTGTGTCCATTCTGTTGGGTTTATGTACAATCAGACTTGCATAGTTAGCGGATTGCAATATTTCCCAAGACACTAGGCCGAATGTGGAGTCCCACTGTACGAGATTAATCGACTTAACCATATCGAAATCAAAGTGTCATATATTTAACACTAATGGCAAGCCAGACGGCCAATGAAAAGACGTCAAGTTTTGCAAGGCGTTCAGATTTCTAATTTTTGGGGCAATTGTACCCAGGGGTTTCATTACGTATCAACCACC